AATGTCAAACATATCAGGAAGCTGGCCTCGTTACCTTTATTTTGCAAATAATTAGAAAATATCGGACAGTATGAAAAACGAACTATACGACGCTTTTAAGAAAATTGTCTAAGTTACATATTACTCGAATTCGGCCAGCCGTGGACGTTTTTCGAACAATGAACGATGTGAACGATAGATATCATTAATAGACAAGTGCATTTTGTTAGCAGTTAAATTGAACTAATCACAAGAGTACAAGGGGTACTCACTGAGGCTTTAGAGCTTTATCTATCTTACTGCGACATATACATTATCATGACCTGTAATATCAAACTACCCACTGAAACCATACTGGACCTCAGTTAGTACCATGTTAGTTGCCTCAACTTCTGCCACATTTCAGTACTAATTGCTACCTTATCTTAGTGCCATTATAACACAGAATAGAACAATGCATTAAGACCCACAACTATGTTGAAGCTTCGTCAGCCTTTTGATACATTTCAAAGCAGGTTACAATCATAGATAGTGTGAACCACGGTGTAGTAGATAGTGAGCCAATAGCCAGGAACAAATTGGAGACAGATTACGTGTCTCTTGGCTGATAATGACAGAAATTAAACCTACCGTTGTTCACCAGTATGATGGATGACAGATGTAACTTTTTGCGTCATTTTGATAATACACTGTAGAGTCACTTTCGTCATTGATACAATATTCTCAGCAATGTATTACCATCACAGTGTTATTATTTTCATTTAATATAAAGTATTTCAGAACAATGTATAAATATAATCCTTTTTCTGGACTAAAGTTACACTAAAACTTAAAAAATATAAAAGTCAAAGTCCATTATAAAATCATTTGTTGCAACAAATCGGACTCTGTGTATTGTAAATTTTAATATTGGGATACTGATGAATAATGACTCCTGTGAAAAATGGGCAAATTTTAAAGGTCTTATTATTGCTGGACTGGAATCAGACACAATTTCCTAGTTATAATAAGTTTTAGGAGTCAATAACCAGCTAGCTGATTAAAATGAATTTGAATATATTGAAAGAATGTGTACAATCTCTACAAGTTCAGTATACGAGCATAAATCTGTCCACATTGTTGTCGCCTCGCACCTGCGGTCGCATAGCGAGCTGGTGTTGCAATTCGCTATAAAATCGGATTGATCAGTAAACGGTATTCGTAACATCTGGGCTAATGCTTCGATGTCTTGGGGGAAAATATAGTGCAGCTGGCCCAAGTTCATACTACACAAAATAGAAACATGTTATAAGAAACACCATAGTTGAAACGGCGCAATGAGGGTTTTCGCGATTGAAAAATCCGCCAGATGGCAATTCGTAGACGCGAGGTCCAAATGCTGCGTGATTGGTGGATTTTGACATATCTGTCAATTTCATGTCAAAAATAACCAATCATGCAGCATTTGGACCTCGCGTCTACCTATTGCCATCTGGCTGATTTTTCAATCGCGAAAACCCTCATTAGGCGGTCGTATCGCTAGAAAGCTGTATTTTCTATAAATTTGACACTTTAGCGTGTGTCCATCATTTATTACATAGCCTAGTTTATAATTTTACATAATTAAAAACATAGGGTCTCAAATCTAAGATTTTAGACTTTCGCGTTCCATTTGAACTAAAATAACCGTGAATACCTATTGTAACTCAATCATAAACGTCGTGTTAAGACCGTGTCTTTCTATTATTATGGGATCAAATCACTCGAACTGTAGTAAAATATCATACACATTCACATAAGCATTACTAACTTTAGTTATAAAGTACTGATAGTCAACTGTATAAAACTACACAATTATGACGACACGAAAATGATTTATTGTAATAATTTAGTTCTGGTCTTTAAATTTCGAGGTCTATTATGACAGTTAGTAATTTAATTAATTAGTTTAATTGAGTAAGTTCCGCCTACCTTGTTGGTATAGTTGAAAGTATGATAGGAAAAAATACTATAAAAATTCAATCGTAGTACTTTATTTGAAAGAAAAACGAAAGAAAACAAAGAAAAAATATGTACTTATTTGGTATAAGTTATTGATTAATAAATGTATTCTACATTAATGCGTACTGTCAGAAAAAAAGCGGCTTTTTATATTTTTGCGAACAACACGACTAGATTTATGCAGTTCTTGAAAGTACAAATAAATAATTGATATCACAGCCGGAAAATAACAGTAAAGTTAAATGTAACTAGCGCTTGTTTACAGTTCGCCCTCGGCTGTACAAGATACTTCGAACACGTCAGTAATGCATAATAATGTTATAATCTTTAATTCCGATTTGATTAATAACCGATTCATTCTCGTAGCTAAATAAATATTTGACAGAAAGTGATGAAATATTGATTTTATTGATTTATTATTTTAAGTCAATTTGTGCTACAGCTCTTTGTAGTCATCAACATCATAAGATTATTTAGCCTCCACTGCAGGAAAAGGACCCTCCCCAATAATACTTATGGATATCCTGCCAAATCCTGCACTTATGGATTTGGCTTACACTTCCCTTACTCTTGCCAGACGGGCTGGGGTCACCTGATGTTGGCATTTTTCTCCCATAATCTTCCTAAGATATTCACTGAATCAATGAATGATCCTATTCTAATCTGCCTGTTGGACATCTTTTGTAGCAATACAATATGAATAAGATAGTTGAATAAAATTGTATTCTATAGAACATGTTTGTTCGAAATGTGCTGGCTGTTGTCGTGGGGTTGTATCAATATCGATCCAGGACTTGGTCTACTTTTCCCGACTTACATAACAGAAGCGTTTAGGTTTCATAATAAAATAACTGATGTCGATAAACGTCCAACCCTAGTTACTATGGTATTGAGTTACCATAATAAAAGCTATTTATTATAATCTCTTATACAATTTCCATAAAGTCGATGTCAAAAGAAAATCTGCTTTTTATAAATGCACATTGCTTATATTTTTCTTTGAAATCGATTAAAAAGGTTCATTTTTTAGATACATTTTTAATAGGTATCTAAATATTATAACTCAAAAGTGACTGACTGACTGACTGACATAGATAGTGATTTATAAACGCACAACCCAAACCACTGGACGGATCGGGCTGAAATTTAGCATGCAGGTAGATGTTATGACGCAGGTATCCGCTAAGAAAGGATTTTACGAAACTCCAACCCTAAGGGGGTAAAACGGGATCCATGCGTACAAAGTCGCAGGCGGCCGCTAGTTTTATGATAAAATGCATCAAAACTGAACCAGTGACATTCGTGTAGGTTTAATAAAACTTTGTCCAAATATTTTTTGTTTTTTAATATTTCTCCTCGTCAACCATGGCTGCGGATTTTAATTTCGCAGGCGAAAAATTGTAATGTACCTAATAGGCACGAGTCAATTGATGGTTTTAATTAATACAAGTATTGGTAATGTTTAATACGTTTCTAGATACACTAATAGGTATAGGCTCTAGTTATTTTGGAGCTAGATAATTGGTGTGAAATTTTAACAAAACATGTTTTAATTTAATTAATACGCTTACTTAATGTGGTTTAGGCTAATTTCCACAAAATAATTATTAAGTATTTTTTTATTCAATACACGAATTAGTTTATAAAAAACCAAAACGTAAGTGACATAACTATCTTTTTAAAGATAATATCGCTTGTCGATGGCAGGATATTATGAGCATTCAGCATAATATCCCAGCTTGGTATCTGGTTTAATTGTGACTTGATAACCCTTTTCACTCCTTTCTAAATTACTGATCAACGTAATTTTTGTTTTAAACATAAGTTGATGCATATTACGCCGAGTGCAGGCGGGTTTAATTGAGATTACGTGTAATGTAAAACGAATTCTACGTGTGGACGGCACTACGAGCATTACATGTAAAGCGCTGCCCATACTATTTCCATTACATTACACGATACATTCCATTACGCGTTACACCCGTTTTGACCCGGCTTTAAAGTAGGAAACTTAAAACTCGATTCCTTGTTAAGTTTTGATTACAGGATAGTTATCAAACATATTGAGAGCAAACTTAGGACAATGTCTATGTCCAAAATTGAATCAAGTTTTGAACGCTGTTTGTTAACAGAAATCTTATAAATATCTCCACAAATTCAACAGACGACGATCAATCCAAAATTTTATTCTAAACAAAAAAAAACTTATTTGACAACTAGAGACAACTTTATTTTCTATCTATTCAATTTCAGAGTGGTCATACTAACGCAATACTAATTATTTTCTGCAAGCAATATACCAACAAATGAACTAGATCGATTTGTGTGATAACTATGGTGTAACAAATAATGTATCATACGAAGTCTGGTGATCGTTGTTACTTTATAGTTTCTGTTCCATTTAGAAAATGGTTACTTTTAAGCTTCAGCTTTGATAAACTAGTTAGCTTTTTAAACAATTATTACATTATTTCAGACATATTATAAGTACCCATCCAAGACATTATAGCCAAGTAACTAACCCTAAGTGTGTTCTATGTGGACATGATGCATGAATAAAAAAAAATATTATTTTCCTGAAATAGTTATGTCACCCGTGGGGTCTGAACCTGCAAATATCACGCGTTGTAATCCGGTACCTACCCAGATCGCTAGGCCAGGCGGACAATACTTTTGCATTTCACATACGGCTCTATCTATCTTCAGTAAGTCGAAGGTACAATTTTTTATCTAAATCCCTATCTCCAATAACTCCAACTGCGATAATATTTGATATGTTTCTTTATTTTTTTTAAAGTAAACGTTACGAAAATAAGTAGTAAAAAAATTTACAAATCCTTGAGAGCATATTACAACCAAACTTCTTTTTTTAAATTGAATAATCTAATTGATATAATAATTGCCCCAATAACGTCTAATCAGCACATTTTACAAAACAAACATCACTGAAAGATCGCCGAGTCATACGTCGATGTTACCAGCGGTGGTGCAACCAGCTCTGGGTTATAAATGCTGTGCAGTACGCAGACCCCACAGTGTCAGTTCTGCTCCTGTCGGCTCGGCTGAAGAGGACGAAAGTGACCAGTGATAAGCAAATATGCGTGGAATCCAAGTAAGTTGGAGTGATAGTGATGTGGAGAAGTTTGGTTTCGGATTTATCGATTTGTGGTGTTTATATCGATTACATACTCGACGCATTTTCATTAATCTTTAAGGCTGATTGATTTACACGAATTAAGTAGTTGAGTATTTAATTTAATTTTAAGTAATCAAATTGCATCGTAACTAAATTTGCGTGTCAAGTGACAAGCCCCGCCCACCAACTTGAAAGAAAATATAAGTTAAAATTTAGTTACCTACTAATCTACTTTATACGTGTAAATCAGCCTTTATTGAGTTATTAGTTAAAAATCTACTTATACGGACCTTAAAGCTAGAATTTTATTGATCATCGGTGTGATCATCACTGTTCATCAGAAAGTGAGATTCAGGCTAAGAAATTCCTCATTGCGGATAAAAAAAGTAATGGCTAATTGCAAACCGCGAAAGCAAAAAAAAAAGAGTTGTGCGTAAGACACGTTTTGATTGATTGAATCACTGCAAGGTGTAAATAATTAATCTTTACCTACTAAGGTGTTTATCTACAGTCAACAGCTCATTAAGCTTTACATTTTTGTGGTAAAATCGCCTGTATTAGAATTACATAAAAAACACAGTGTTTAAATTGATGTGCTGTCAATCTTAAATCGGAGTTGTTATAGATTGAATTTGATTGTTTATTTTTTAAAAGTGTAACTAAGTACCTACTCGATATCATGATTTTATAAAAAAAAAGCTTCCTGGTTTTTTTTTTACAAAATGACGTCCAGAATTGTAACGATTTTAAAAAATACGCAAAAAAAACCGAGACCATTGCAATAAATCAGATTTCTAAATTAATTTTGGGTTAGAATTGGCTACAGAAAAAAACAAATTGAAAAGTTGTTTGAATGCTGTTACTGAAATTATTATGTAATTGATAAAACTAATTAATTATGTATAAAATAGGTTATATTTGGACAGCTTGAATCCAGTTTCAGTCTATTTACGTATTATAATAAGCAATTAATTGTTTATGCCCAGTATAGTTATTATACAACATCAGGTACACTTGCTGAATGTATTGTAAAAAGCCAACTTATTTTTGATTGATTTTGCCGGATATAAATCGAAATACATAAACAGTTTCATTTTCAATGAACTAAGCCATGTAAACATCGGTTTGAATTAACAAAAAACTGGGACAGAATCGGCAAGAACCGTAAAATATTGTCATTGAATACAGCAATGATGTTTTTTGTATATTTCTCGGTTGACAAAGCAAAATCAATGTTCGCGTACAGTTTGTTGTTATAAATGATAACCGACTTGTTACGTTCTGGCTTATTACATCTTTACCGTCGCAGAACGCTACATTGTACAGACAACAAAATATTAATATTAAACGTAATGTAATTGGAAATAGTATTTTTAAAACAAATATTTACAAATGATTGTAATTAATTAGTATATTACAGTAAGGTCATGAATTTAACTTTTCATCAATTAAATAAAAAGGAAGCAACGTTCGATGATGATCAATTAGATTGACATTCTGATTAAGTAACCTTTTATTTGAGTACTAACCAATTTTTTAAAACACAATGTACGTAAAATTAGCCCAGTATGTAAGCGGCGTGACATAAACATCATACAGTCATGTCATTTACCTAAACTAAATAATGTGTTCAAAGATCCATATTTTAGGGTTTTATGTAAATTGTGGTTATGAAGTAATGACGTAAGTAGGTAATAAGTGTATATTTAGACGACATAGAGTAAAACACCATGTAATGTTCCTCAAACTAAATGAGCATGCTATTGGTACAGTCAGCGTCAAATAATCGCAATTCGTGACACCAAATATCGAATAAGTACGCAACACGTCTTTGTTACAACTGGCATAAGGTTGTGTCAACTTTTTGGTCACTTTGGGTGTCACAAATTTGACACTGACTGTACAAGTACGTAAGTATTACCAGCGTAACGCATGGGAAATACTATGTTAACGCAAGGGAAGGGGGTAAACGGAAAGTGTACACACAATTATTGACTCCAGCTTCCTGTTTTTGTTTTTACCTGTCCTATTGTTCTAATTCTAATGACCTATACGCTGTTTACAGGCCATACATAACAACAAGTCTATGTTAAACAATTTTAGCCTTTATTGCTATGGTATTCAAGTGTCAAATTCCAATTTGTATTTATTATTTCGGCGAATATCAGCGCATTTTCATATCCAACTTAAATGTGATTCACTTGTCCTTAAAGTCTTACTCATAAGGTTGGAATTCAATTGACAAACTTAATTTTGTTTGGCAAAATGTGTGTTGTATTTCATGATTGGCATGTGATTTGTACGCGAAATCTTATCTTGATAGATCTCAAACTAACAATGCTTATTTAGCATGTTAATAAAGAGATTACAATACAAATACGATGCAAGTGGCTCAATAAGGGATGTCACTGTCTTTATTAGCACTATACAATGATCCATTGACCATGGATATTTTATGAATAGGTCTTATTGTTAATCAAGACCGTTAAGTACTATTTATTACTAAAGGTCATTTACTGCCTTGCTATACTTACTTGATTAAATAACTTAATTTTATTAGTGAAAATAAGTTACAGATAAGCATACTAAAACAATTGTAGTTACTAAATCTCATATTAAAAAAATGCCTGAGTTAGATAAATGATATCTATTACGAAGAAGTTAATTTCTCTTTTAATTTGTTTTTAAATTAGTTTTTCAAATGATAAACATACAAACTTGTTATTTTTAACTATAAATAGAAGCAGATATAGTAAGTCAGTCAAGCCGACCACATAATTGAGGCTTAATCATCTAATTTCGACCACTTCCTCACTCACAGGTAACAATTTTCGTCGCTGTGTGCGCGGCCGCTAGCGCGGGCTACATCAGCGACTACCTTTTAATTTGTTTTTAAAGCAATTAAGTTTTCAAAAGAAAATCATACAGTCGTTCCATTTTAACATATTTTTTAACTATCATATCTGTAACAGAAACAGATATAAGTTAGTCAAGCCAGACCACATAATTGAGGTTTAGGCCCGATTCGATTATTCGAATAACTCCTGGTATAATTGACACATTGACAGTTTCAGTATGAGAAATAATGTCAAAACTGACGATTTCATCTGAGATTAATATTTACTCTCGTTTGGTCGAATCCACCCTTAATCATCTATTCCTTACAATTTTCGTAGCTGTGTGCGCGGCCGCTAGCGCGGACTACATCGGCGGCTACCTTTTAATTTGTTTTTAACTATTATACCTATCTGTAACAGAAGCAGATATAAGTTAGTCAAGCCGACCAAATAATTGAGGCTTAATCGTCTTATTTGAACACTTCCTTACTCTCAGGTAACAATTTTCGTCGCTGTGTGCGCGGCCGCTAGCGCGGGCTATATCTGCGCCTACCTTTTCATTTGTTTTTAAAGCAATTAAGTTTTCAAAAGTTAACCATAGAGTCTTTTTGACGTTGTTTTTTAACTATCATATCTGTAACAGAAGCAGATATAAGTTAGTCAAGCCGACCACATAATAAAATTGGGGCTAAGGCCCGATTCGACCAAACCTTTATCCGAGAATAATTCCTGGTATAACTGACACATTGACAGTTTCAGTATGGGAAATATGTCAAAACTGACGATTTATTCTGAGATTAATATTTACTCTTGTTTAGTCTCCCTAATCATCTAATTTAAACCACTTCCTCACTCCACCTTGGTACCCATAACACAAGTTAAATCTTAGCTCGGGTGCCAGGATTCACTCAACATACTGTTTGTGTACCTATCTGGATTGTCGTAATCTGCATTAATTACTGTGTTGTATGTTTTAGTGTAACACTTTATGTCAATAAATAATTTAATATTTATTATTATTTACTCACAGGTAACAATTTTCGTCGCTGTGTGCGCGGCTGCTAGCGCGGGATACATCGGTGGCTACGGAGGCTACGGCGCTGCCGGCTACGGCTACGAAGGCGACGCACATGGCGATTATTACGTAAGTATTACTTTAATTATTTAATCTTGTAATTTTACCATTTTGTAGTTACAAGGAATAGGGATGTTTCCTGGGTAAAAAAGCACTTTGAGACGTTACATGGAACTTCAATGCATCATAACTTGTTTGATTGACAGATAAAAATATACGTATCCAATATTTTTTTCGGACTTAAAGTTAATTTTAAGGAAACTAGCCTATTCTGTAATTGGATATACCACATTGTATCGCTGTAACAATTCTTAAAAAATAATCTATTCTATTTGATTCCATCATAATATGCAAAAGTAACTCTGTCTATCTGTTACCTATTTACACCACTGCTTGGACTGATATAGATATACCATAACTTAATTTAAAGACAGTTTCAGATATACGGCAAAACAAAGGAGTTTTATATAGGTTTTGAAACAGCTACAACTTTATTGTCTTTCTGAGACTGACAAATATTTACACGGGCGAATCCATGGCACAACATGGGCAAAAGATAGTACTAACAATAATATGCATAAGAACTTGAGCCGCGAGTTAAATTGTAGCCAGAGCTATTCAATAGTTCGGGTGAGGCTTGTGATCTTCATTAGGACGTACCTACTTTGTTTAATTTAGTACATAGCATATCCGCAGATTAAATATTTTTTGCAAAATAGCTTGGTTTACAACGAAATAAGACGCCACTGTTCTTAACTTGTTGCACAGTCATACCTTCGCAGCCTAGATGTTAAAGTTAGAAGTACACACTTTCCAGCCTTATTAATGTAAACATAGATATCAAATCGAGCACTTCCGTGAAGGTCATTACGTTGACACACGCCAATGTTGCGTCAAAGCCTCGCAACGGTTACGGTGTTTACCCACACCATGGTCCGTGGCTCCTGTCTCCGTAATATGTGCTATTTTGACGTTACGTCGTTATGTAGTTGTAGCGAAATGAACTTGCTACTTTATGAACAGCATTGCGAAAAACTAATTAGTGAGCTGGAGTAGCTTGAAAAGCTCTTTGTGAAAATGTCCCCTTATAATAATGTTGTAAAAGTTTAATTCTCTTCTTTACATATTTTATTATGAAATTGTCCTGACTCTTGGAGTAGGTGTAATTTTCATTTACCTACTGAAGGCCTAGTGTGAGTTTACATCAAACGCGGTCACTAGTGATTGCGTCAAAAAATGACATTAAATGTATAACGGATTGTACAGCGCCTCCAGAGGGAAACGTTTGAAAACTAAAATTTTCTCTCGCGAGCGCGTTTGATGTAACCGCCGATGTCTAACCGCCTCTGTGGTCTAGTGGTAAGACCACCTGCTTNTGAATAGGTATTATCAAAAGGGTGGTTTCATGCGAATTTGACGAAAATGTTCACCCCCAAGGGTGGAAAATTGGGGATGAACTTTTTTATAATATACATTAAGAATATGGTCTCAATGTACTGCCTACCTTCAGTGGTAACATCAAGGTAATAATTAGTCAACTAAAAAGCAAGAAATAAGTTAAATTTTATAAAAAAAATAAAACCGACTCCAAAAAACCTACACTAAAAAGCAGAATAATAATTACTAATTACCTACTTATTTATTAGGACGAATTATTAATATTTATGTAGGTATACCATGATTGATACTTTTGGAGTCGGTGCAGGCAAACTTTACATGTTTCATAAACTTGGCACCGACTTTTATAGAGTAGCTTTATTAAAGCAAATAAAAGCTCATAAACATCAATTCCTCGTAATTTGTTTACTATTTTGCTTCCTTGCGAATGTTACCCAACTACATATATGAGACATAGCCACTATGTAATCTGTTTTGACTATTGCATCATCCCGTTTGACTTAAAAATAATGCAAAATAACGTATAACAGGATAATAACCAGGCCAGGATATTTTATAAAACGCTGTAATAGATCTGTATCATTTACGAAGGTTATAAAAAAGGTTTGACCACAGAATAAAAAAAGGGGGGCGAGTACTAAGATAATTTTCCCAAATAATGTATCCCTGTAAATTGAACTTTAATTTATTTTTCACACAAAATGCCTTCATATTCCTTCATATAGGTTGGTAATACAATAATCTATAAAGACGTTGAGTTTGTGTGATTGTGGAGTTGTAGGGTAATCTTTGAACCTGCTGAACCAATTTTGCAAATTATTTTCCTACAAAAAGCCACATTGTTAGTGACAATCTATGAATTAATCAAAAAACTGAACAGAACGCAATTCACGCGGGCGAATTCACGATCAAAACCTAGTAAATAAATAAAAAGTTTAGCAATTTATCATTAATCATTTTCCCTTAAAGCAGACCCATAATAATTCTACTGGTAGGTATTCAAGATTAACATAATGATGCAAATGCCCAAGATCTTCGGGGGATCAAGGCGAACGTTGACATCATACCCATCATGTCTTAACCTACATTAGGCACGAGACCGCATTGCAGGCCATACTCGAAGACGATTAGTTACAACTCAGTTTAGTTAAAAATGTATTGATTGATCTCAATACATAATTGATTACATACATCAGTAAATCAGATTGAAAAGTATAGTAAACAAGGGAAATATTTAAATCGTTTTGTTTATTTCGCTGTTTCTGATAATAAATTCATGTATACTAAAATTAATAACTACAGCTGATAATTATGATTTCCTGAAAATTGAAATATTTAGCTAGGTAGATAAAAATATTATTATTTTCAGCAAATTTTGCACCTGATAGAGATTGTTCGTTATTATAAAATAGGTAACCATTCGTATTATAAGGTGTATCTAGGCCTCTAGCGAGATGTCTGTAGTTTAATTTTCAATGGGCATAGGAATTAGGGTCTCAATTTGACCTAATATCCTACTAGACAAAGAGAAACCCCTACACTTACCCTATGTTTGAAAAATACTTAATTGAATGTAGTAATAGTTTTTTGAAAAGATTATAGCTACTTAAACAAACTTTTGCAATCAAAATAATGTTTTATTCTGATAAAACCCTTTTAGTGGATATTAAAGAACGCCAAATTTATTCTGGTATCCACAATGTAGGCAGGAGTTCGAAGTTTGCCACCAAATAAGTATTAATGATCAGGGCATCCTCAACATTCATATTAATTAGTCAAACTACGCTAACTTGATGAATAGTATGCGCATTCTATCATTTCATTTTACTTTTAAACAAACCTATATTACCAACTTTTAAAATATTTTCGCAGTCTCCTTCACTTTTCGATACAATTTATAAGATCGATCGATAATGGATATCCTTGATATTAAAGATGTTAATAGGCTTTTTATTTATTCACATTGGTAGTTGAACCTTTACAAATATTATCATAGTATTTACATACTTGCTTTAAGTAATACCTTGCGTTAAGAAAATATTGATATTATAATATAATTATTAGTGCAAAAAACAAAGTACAACAAAATAAATAAGAACTATGTACTCCGGCAAGTTCTAATAATAATCTATATATATATATATAGATTATTATTACAGGGACAGGGAGGTAGTTTAGAGCCAGGAGAAGGACATAGGATACTTTTTATCCCGTTATTGATTGCCATTAAGGCGGAACAAAGTTCGCCGGGTCAGCTAGTGATAAATAAGACCAACTTGTTTTTAGCAACAAACAATACAAGGAACGCCATCTACCAGAATTCTGTAGAAATGTTTTCTTGAATGTAGCTACCAAAAGTGACAGGTTTCAAGGTAGAGTCAAGCGCTAGCTAGAGCACGACTGTATAGAACACCACTTAGTACAACCGTATCTCAACAGAGGGTGTAGTTTTAAAATCGATAAAACCTTATACTAGAAAATGAGGATGCAAATAAAACTAAGCTTACAAATCACACAAAACAAAAGACACGAGGATGATAAGGAAGCTTAGAAGAAATTTAAAGAAAAAGAAAAGTTACGTTGAGTTTCCACTTTAGGAAGAATACAGGTATAGCGAGAACTAATAATGTAACCATACGTGATTTGACATAAAATTACATGCGAAGATTAGCAATGTGCTAAGGGAAAATGGTAGTAGGTCATAGAAAATCGTCTTATTTTTTGGGACCACGTGCACAAATCTAAGAATCCATGAAAAACTACATGTAAAAATCCAACAATCAATTAAAAAGATATGTAAATATTTTTAATTGCGTACAAATAAGACGTTGTATCAACGATCTCTATCACTGCCAGTAGTAAAAATATCAAGTTGACAAGGTGAATGAAGACAATAAAGACATTTGCATATGGTCCCACGTCTATCTTCGCCAGTCGATGAATCATCGGTTCTGAACAAGGTCAGTATTCGGTCTAGTTGGCGTGTGAACCTATCCACTACGTACTTAGGGTGTGTTCATATAGGTAATAGAATTTTAATAATTTCATTTTAATTTAGTAAGGGTGGGATGCACCATCTTACTTTAACTTTAACAAACGTCAAAAATCTGTCAAACTCTATACAAAAAGCACCGGTTATCGTTACAGTTACGGTAAAAGTTAGGTACAACTCAGCCTAAGAACTTCAAAACATCAGCTCATGTAATAGGTATGATAGCCCACTGATGGATGTCCGTCCATATTACCACATAAAAGTATTTTAATAGATTCTAATTTATATTATTTATTGTAGGTAATTAACTTATGCAGAAACTTTATGAAAATTGAAAATGTTTTAAAGTTTAAAAGCTTCTGAATTGTGGAAAGTTAGTTTTAGGTAAAACAATCGATATTTAAAAACAGAGACTAATAAGAAAAATAATTACTAAGTACACAATGTTTTCACTTAATGATACCACAACAACGCTAGACGCTATGCTCCAGAACATTCCAGTAGATATAAAAGCCTACGAGCAATTGTAAACGTCGCCTTGCGCATTACGCCCTACTTTCAATTTCATCGTGCTAATAATGCAAAGCACGTAACCCGCCTGTTCAGTAAGTTATTATTAGGACAGTAACAAGTAAACTACAAACACGTAGGCGAAAAGAGCAATTAGATAAGACGCTGT